AACCCCTAAGTTATAATAATTATACTTTAACCTATTTTTAATATTATAAATACACCTATCCTCTACTATTTCTTACAAAATCATCTATTCTTATTTCTCTTATCTATTTTTCTATATCCTCTCAACTCTCAAGTGTCAATCTTAATTTCTATTCAATTTTAATTCTCATATTATTATAATCGATATATTTTTAATTTTCAATTCATCTTTTTCATATTATTTAAATATATAAAATTATATTATCTCATATTTGTTATCATGTGTTGGTTGAAGTTTCAGATTAAAAGTTAAAACAAACCACAAGCTTCAGCAATCGGTTTAATGTCTGCTATTAACGCAGACGTTTGGTACATTCGTTTCATAATATTTATATCTTATTTTTTATCTTTATTTTTGTGTTATTATTATTTTTATATTATACTTTATATATAATTAAGTATGAGTTTTAGCAAAAAAAATAGCGGTAAAGGAAAAGAGAAAGCACAAGATAAAGAAGAAAGTAGACTTTTTAAATTATTTAATTTTTGTAAAAACAATAGTAAAGAAAAAAAGAGTAGTAAAAGTGGTGGTACCTTATCTAAATCAACGAGTAGAGTTAGATTTAACATACATAATTCTACTTATGTTGATGATACTCCTTATGATATTGCTTCAAATGTTCAACTCGATCACGAAAGTTTAGAATGACGTTATGGTAATGTTAATCCTAATGTTGATGAAAATTCAGGTGAAGAAGTAGAAGCTGATTTGGGAGAAGAGGAGTTAGAAGAAACACCTACTTGTCCGATGACAGAAGTTCCAAATGAGACTATCAATTTATCGGAGCAAAATTTTGGACATCCACCCCTTATACCTCCCACAAGGGCGAAGGTGAAGTATCAACGCCCTAAACTTCTATTGTGTGGCAATTTATGACTTTCGATAAAGAAAATAATGTTGCTGTTTGTAATAAGTGTAAGCAACCTTTTAAACATAAACAAGGTGGGGTCAAGGTGGAACGGGGGAATTAAATAGACATTTGTTATCTTGTGTACCGATTCAATATGAAGACACTAAACCATTAGCCAGTAGAAAAAAAGGAATTTCAATTAATGAATTTGATATTACCAGTAATGCATCGATAGGGGCTTCTAACATGGTTCAAGGAACATTAGATCCTTTTAACCACGTTGGTCCAATAACACAACGTAAATATAATAAGGAATTAGATCGGGAAAATTTAGCTAAAATTGTTTTTGTTTGTGGTTTGCCTCATAGTTTTTCTTCAAATCCCGGTGCTATTGAATATATTCAACAAACTTATAATCCAGATTATAGAGGCTTTTCAAGAAATACTGTTAAATCTGTTGTTTTTGAGTTTCAAGGTAAACATTGTCAATTTCTTTGATGTATATTTAGCATATTAGATAGTAGAGTGTCTATAACTTCAGACATGGGTCGTACTGTTAATGAAAATGATTATTTAACTGTTACTGCACATTGGATTGATCATAATTGAAATTTACAAAAAAAAATATTATAATTTATAAGTATGTATAGAGAAAAAAACCTGGTGCATATTTAGCTTCAAATATTTTAGATTATTAAATTATTATAGAAAAAATAATGGCTGTCGCATTAGATAATGCATCTAATAATACAAACGCTGCTAAAATGTTAAAAGTTAGATTCTGTCCAACTGACAATAATGTTTTTCATGTTAGATCGGTTGCACATAAATTAAATTTAGTTGTACAAGATGGTATTTCATTATTTGATTGTGGTAGCGTTAAAATTGAATATGATGTTACCTGAATTTTTCGTACAAACAGTGTTGCTTGAATTAGGTAATTTAATGAGCGTTGTTTACTTTGTGAATTGTCACCTAGAAAAATTCCAAAACATATTAAAACAAGGTGGAATTCTCTTTATGAAATGATTCCGGTTGCTTACATATATAGAAGACCCATACAAATGGTTTTTAATGCTCATAATGCTGACCTATTAGATAGAATTTGTGATGAAGATTGGGAAGAAACTAATGAACTATTACAATTTTTAAGACTTTTTTATGATGCTACTACCATGTTTTCTGGAATTTATTATACTACTATTTCATCCGTATTAATAAATATTTGTGCTCTTACAATTCAATTTTGTAAATATTAAAAAATAGATAAATTTAGAGTTGCAATTAAAGATATGATTGAAAATTTTAAAAAATATTTCTTTCCTATTCCTCAAGTTTTTTTTAACGGCTACTTTACTTCATCCTGCTTATATATTACAAGGTGTGCAAGGCCCTGTTGACACTTTTTATGAAATTTTAGAAATTTTATCGAAAGAAATTTCAAATTGTCAAACGTGTAAGTCTAGCATAAAAGTAGAAGCAAAACTGTTGTATGAAAAATATAGAACTACGGAAAATTTTCAAGGAGAAGTTGGTCAAACTTCTAATGTTGAGATTAATTTTTCACTTCCAATTTCAACTTATATGTGAGGTATTCTTGGTCTTAATTTTATTAACCGTGATGATTTTGAAGAATATTTTAATCAATCTTTAGAAATATTGGAAATCAAAGATGGCAATGAAGATTTATTAGGATGGTGGAGTAGGTGAACCGATGCATTTCCAACTTTGATCTAAATGGTTCGTGATGTTCTAGCTATTCAAGCTTCATCAGTTGCATCGGTGGCTGCTTTCAGTGCGGCAAGGTTTCAAATTGGTTATCATAGACATTCATTGGCGGAAGACAGTTTTGAAACAACAATTTTATTTAGAGACTGATGCAATGCCGAAAGGAGGAATAACAATTTGCCAAAGTCAAGTAAAAAACAAGCAAGTTGGATCAAAACACAAACTGAATGCAGTGATGATGAATTAGAGGCACAAGTATTTCTAGCAAGTTTGCCAACACCGGAGGATATCACCATCGATATGATGTGACAATTAAAATTAAATTTTAAAGGAGAAAACAAATATTTTTAGATTATATTCGAGAACTAATTGAAAGAGAACTCTTCCTAGAAGGTGGCTATGTAATATTAGTTACTCATCTAATATATGTAACAAATATTATTATTACGTATGAGAACTTATTGAAACCGAACCCTTCCTAGAAGGTAGCTGCGTAGATTAGTTACTCCACTAATATTTGTTAATTGTAACTTTTAAGTTCTATTGAATAAATTTGAAGGTTTTAACTTTTGTTCAAGTTTTTTTTATACAATTATTGTTTTGCATTTTAATTTTAATATATATAATTAAATATCTACTAAAGTACTAAACTAACTTTAAAATACTTAATTAAAGTTTACAATTTACATTACTTTAAAATATTTAAATTAAAAATTTAAACCCCTCAAATTTGAAATTTATAACTTAAAAGTTGAAACATGAATCTTGAAATTTGAAAATTAAAACTTTAAATTTGAAAATTTATTTTGATATTTGAAAATTAAAAATTAAATTTACAATTTATTAGCTAAGGATGTATAATTTCAATACAAATATATAAGTATGTAAAAACAAAAAAAATCCCACGTCCCGTCCCGTCTCGTCCCCCCAAATCCCATTCTATCCCGTATATATAGTGGGACGGGATGTTACCTATTTTTGTCCCCCTAATCCTTGTCCCCCCAATCCCGGTCCCGGTCCAAATTCCCTCTCCCCGTCCCCCGTCCCGTCCCGTCTCCATTCGTCCCATCCCCCAGTCCCCTTCCCTGTCCCCTTGCCAGCCCTAGTCGTGACAAGTTAAATTGTAATGACCCTTCTTGTCTTTTTTAGTGTTTTATCTTCTGTACATCGTTTAGAGAGTTTCTACAACTATCCCAAGTTATTTATGACTTGTTGGGACTGACAGATCGGTCACATGGTCGTTCGTTTGATAATTGTGTGAGTTTTAGTATTTTTGGAGCTTATGAACCTTGAACGATCATTTTCGATCAAAGGCTCAAGAAGATGATATCAGAATCCAATTCTGACGATTCCATCAGTTCCGAAAGGGTCAATTTAGGCTAGTAGCACTATCGACATGACTCCCAAAGTTTTCATTGTGAGTTGGTGTGATTAGGCGTTTTAACTTTAAGTTAAAGGCTAAGTTTGACTTTAGTCAACACTCTGAGTAAACATGCTCGAATGAGAATTCCTTCAGCGCGGCTAGCTCCGGAATGTCGAGTTTGGTCTAATTTGACCCTTCTTTCGTGTTCTGAGCTTTTTGATATTTTTTGAACCCTTTTGTGATTTTTGAATTAAAATGGCCAATGGAAGTGGGACCCACAATCGAGATGACCTTTGATGGAAATTTTGACTGCGTCATTGAGTCCGGAATGTCGACTTTGATAGGGTAGCATATCTGTTTTATTTTTATCAGGTTCCGAACGAATTCCGAGCACCCGTCGAAGACTTTGTAGAAATTAGACAAAGCTGAAATCTGGTGCAGCCTTTTAACGACCAGAATTTGGTCACAATCAAACTTGAATAGTAATACTGTTTTATACTAACATGACAGAATTCTGAATTGAAAACTAATCAATTTCATGAAGCCTCAAATTAAGTAATAGCAGAGTCAAAATTGGAGTGCTTACTGTGTTGAAAGTGAGATGCAGCCTCTGAACCCTTTACGATGTTGAAATTTCAGAATTTCTTTATCTGAGGTTTAACTTAAAAGAGAAAAAAAGAAGCTGTGTCATCAGAAGTGATACATGCAATATGGACTTAAACTAAAATATGGATTCTCTATTCTATTTTTTGTGACATCATTTGACTTGACATGATATTTAAAAAGAAAAAACTAGTCATACTTATAGTCTAAAACATTTTATATATTTGTATAGTTAAAAAGGACAAAATGAAAATTTTCAAATTTTATTGTTTCTAATTATAAAAAGATCATATTCGTTTTTGGATAAGGTAAAAAAAAAGAGTACCTCGTAAATAGGACAGAGGGACTAAATGTATCCAAACGTATAAGATAAAAAGTTAAAAAATTGCCAAAAGAAAACATTGTAAATACAAAAAATAAATCACAATTTACCTTTCATTTATTTCTTGTCATAATTTGCCATATTTCTCATATTATAGAGTTTTAGTTTTACAACAGAGATGGGAATAAAAGAATAACATGAGAGACACCAAAGAACGTCATCCAATAATTATCGTAATATCAGAATACAACACCTCTAAAACCCTTGCAGCACTCCATTTCCGAAGGCAATGACATCCAAACATTTGTTCATCAGGTAAAGCTAATACTCATTATTGGGCAGAAAAGAAGAAAAAAAATAGTTGGTCTTTTCACACTGACAGCACTGCTCTTAAAGGAACTTTACAGATTAAATTCGTGCTTCAAATTGTGTATAGCTACTACATATTATAAGCAATGTATTCTTATTTGCTTTGAATGATTACCATTCAAATCACCCTCTTTGGATCACGAGCTGCAGCCAAATGATCCTGCAAAAAAAACACCATGGGAACAAAGTTACATACAAGAGTCACAAAACAGGTCCTAAAATGAAGTCATCTAGTCTTTTCAAGTGCCCTGCCGTTCACAAACTTACAACATACACAAAAATAAATGAAATACAGAAGCTCTAGAATGAGGCATGCATCTATAACATATTAAAAGAAAAGGATAAGCAGATTATAAAAGGGAAAAGGCTCAAAAATGCCTTGGTCCAAAAATGTTAATGCCGTCAATATTTTGTCCAAAAATGTCCTTATTGTTCAATGAATGAAGATTATAATGAACAAGAAAATATACTTTATAATAAAATACTTGTAAAAATAAAATTATATTAGTTATTTTAGACTGCTCATGAGCACACCACTTTCTATGTCAAATGGACAAAAAAAATGATGTGATTATATCTATTCAAAATTGTTTAGTGAGGTAATAGGACAGTTACAAAGTTAAAGTGTCCTTTTAAAAATTCGGCAGAGCTCCAGTACTGGCTCTCTGTCTTTTCTCTAACATAATCTTTTTCTAATAATGTTTTATAAAAAAAATTAGCAATTCTTTATCTTACTTCAGTTCAGAAAAAAATAAAAATGTTTCTTATTTTATCATCATTATTTTTTAGTGTTATATAAAAATAAATGAATGATGGAGATATAATATGATGCTCTATATATGACACATATTATTATTTGTCAAAGGTACCTAAAGTTATTTTATTTTAATTGACAAAATGAGAATAAAAAGAAAAATAATATCTCCTACATTTTTATCAATGAAAACAAGAATAGTGTTCATTAATAATATTTTAATTAGAAAGAAGATGTTTAAAAAGAAAAAAATGATGTATTTATTCGGAAAAGGGCATTTTTGACCCATTTTGTAACTATGGGACATTTCTGGACTGCAAGGGCATATTTGAATAGAAGTATTAAAGGTAAGACCATTTTTTAGCCAAACTATAAATAAAGGACAATTTTGTTCCTTTCACATAGTTTATGGACATTTCTGACCCTTTCCCCATTATAAAATGCAGACAACTTCCATATCACCACAAGAACAAAGGCGTAGGACCACCTCTTTTTTTATTTTTGGAGGTTTGGAAGAGCATAGATAAAGAATTGTTAATGGCAACCTTTAATGTCAGGGGCACCTAAAGGCAGTCGCAATTTAATGCAGATTCAAAACAATAACAGAAAATGGAGGTGCACAAGACCCAAACTTACCGAGATAAAATCGAATGCCTTTGTACCTTCTTTCTTCGAAGTGTTCATCAAGGAAGTAGGAGTTTGCTTAGAAATGCTAGCATTGAAGATATCGGGGAGAGCTGAACCATAAACTTCAGCAGAATCAGCAGCATGACTAGCACTAGTGGATGAGTGCATGCTCCCTAATTGCTGATAACTGGAAAGCGTTGCAAGGAGTTGCTGCTGAGCAAAAATGTTTCCCATAGCATTATAGTTTAGAGCCTGAGGAGCAAATGATGGATTCAACACGAAGCCAGGAGGCAAGTTATACTGCATAGAACCCAAAGGAAACATGGGATTTGCATTAACTCCACCAGCCTGGGAGGAAAGTATGCTATTCATGACATCATTAGAAGCGTGATGACAAGGGTCAATAGTGGGCTCTTGAAATATATTCTGATAGGGGGTTGCCCCTGAGCTGCCATTCTGCTCCATGGATGACTCATTCCCATTCAAAGAGAGACTATTCATTAAATCAGGAACATCCTTTCTAGAATTATTGGGCTCCCGAGGAACTTCAACACTGGAACCAAAGATATCAAACAGTTCAGGTCCATTTCTATTATTCACCGAATGGATTTCAGTAGCATCTGATTTGTCAACCGTCATTCCAGAAAAGAGATCAGCTTCAGGCGCTTTCTCATTACTGATGTGAAAAGAAACATCAGCAAAGGGGTCATCATCATTTTTCTTTTGGCTGGAACTAAAGCTGCTGCCCGATTTGTCTCCAAATAGATCATCCATCAGAGGGGTGGCAGAGGTGGATGCAATCTTTATTCCTTCACTACTCTGCATATTTGTTAAATTATCTGTTCCAAACAGATAATCAGAATTGTCTGTGTCTATCAAGTCAGGCATCTGGACAACAGGGTTACAAGCATTTGCTGACCTATCTACATGAGCCACAGCATCAGCTGTTTGTCCATCATTCAGAAGACTTAAGACCTGCCCATATTCATCACATGACTTCAACTAGGGAAGATACATAATGCAATCATACATTTGTTGCAAGATGCCAAAATATGCACATTAAATGTTTTTTTCCTTTTCCTTCTGAAGCTGAGATGTATAACCCAAACTCTGCAAGAGACTTGTTTAAATGCCCGCCATTCACACCTTTATGGATCTGATGTCAGAATCACAATGGTGCATGACATGGAGGATCATGAGATAATTTGTTCTCCTAGTCATCTCTTTTACCTAGAATTTTATATTTTTTGGTCAAATAAATTAGGTATCATCACCTTTAATTGTTCCACTGGATTAACAGTTTTCTGTATCATTTCTCTACTTTTTTTATGACAAGGGAAACCCGCAGCCGCTACACGTTGGGTGTGCACAAGGTAAAACCCCGCTCTTATGCAATACCTCGCAAACTACATAGGAGAGGTAACCCGCACTAGGCATGCCCGGTGCGACGAGCTCCATTTTCTCTAGTTTTTTCTGAGCAGAACGATGAGATTTGAGTGTATACCCACCTTATAATATATAACCTAAGCTACAAATCTGATCAATGGCAATCAACCTTTAAACTTATAGTTACCCACTATGTGAAAGATATACAATTATCAAGTATACATGCAGATTTTGAAAATGAAACTAGAAGGCATAGAAGCAGGGACCTATAAAACCTAGAAGAATATAAGTGTGAACATAATATTAGAGCACCATGTGATAAATGCAAATTGGAGTTTCTTTTTTTCTCTCCCTCGGTGTCTTTCTCTCCATGTCTTCTCTTTAAAAAAACATTAATCTTTGCACTAATATTTGTGTATGTGTTTCTTCATTTCTATAAGAGGACGGCAAATAAATGCAGAGTGTTCATCTTGGAAATCTTACTTTGTTTGCTTTTTCTCTTAATGATGCTTGGGGAGATTCATAGCATTTTACCACAACATCTCTATTTTCAGTGAAATAAGATGCCATAGTACCAAAGTGAGCATCATCTTTTTTCCTCAAGATGGCCTCGAGGACACAGATTGCTTTCACACGAACCTGGCATAAAAGAAGACCAAGTAAAAATATGTGAACTAGTTTGAGATCAACATTAATTAGCAGAGTCTATCAGTTCAAATAAAAAAAAAGTTTGCAGTGTCAAATAAAGAAGATAAATGCGTGAGTATCTGAGCAACTTTTGAAATTCTAAGCAACAGACAAACCTGCCACGAAGGTGATTGCAGCTTTGACTCAAGGGCATGAGTCAAAGCCAAGGCATCTAATTTTGAAGCCTCGAGAAGGAAGACCTGAAGTGCATCCCGAGTTGGCTGCAGACGAACTCCACCGGAGGTTGCAATAGTTTCTAATAACCTGTCTTCTCGGGTCTTTTCAGCAGAATGTGGCTTGGTTGTTGTTTCAGTGTGAGTCCAAGTTGCAGAAGCAGGATTTGTTGAAAAGCGAGAAGTATGATTGTGAGAAGTGTCAGGTTGAGTTGTCAATGAGCTCTGAAGATTTGGACTTGTATAAGTTCCAGTATCATTCTTTTTGAGAGGAGGAGATTGTGTAAGAGTATTAAGTCCTTGTTTAATTGTAGCACCAACAACGTCACTGAGGAAAGACCTCTTATCATCATGAATTTCATAACTGGTATTACCAAAGCCTTGTATTCTGCCACCAAGATTTAGATTTTCTGTGGGAGGTTTAGTGTCTTGTGAAGAAAATAGAGCAGATAATGCTTCCTGCGCTGTTTCACGGACTGCTTTATTGAGTGCATCAGCCTTCAAAGGGTCGGGTTGACCTTTGTAGTGAATTAACTGGCGTATAGCGACTGAATTTCTTTGCATCTCCCTTGTGAATTCTGGACAAGATTTTCCGACAGCATATTTGATCACTCTGAGAGCCTGCATACATACATAAATAAATAAATAAATAAACAAGGTTGTATGTAACAAAGAAATAAAGAGGGAATAGAAGATATGTGTTACCTTTTGCTTGACAATTGGGGATTTGTGTTGGAGACGTTTGAGGATGAATTCAGATACTTCTTTAACAATAGAGGAATGTGAGGATCTAAGCAACTCACAAATCTCCTCCAATTTGTAAACAGGCGTCACTTTATCTTCATCAGAGGTCGCTCCATCGATCATCCGTGACCTCCAATACGACTCTACCGCCCTCCTGCTTGAATCCATTCAACAATTTCAGATCTGATCTCCAAATCTACTTTTAGGGTTTTTCACCCAACCCAACCGACCTCCACAATTTTATTATTATATTATTATTCTCTACACCTCCATTTTCGCCTTCATTTTTCTATATTATCATATAATATAATATTATAAATAAAATATAAAATTTAATTTTCTTTTCTCTTTCTATTTAATTTTTTAATTTAATAAAGAATACGTTTCACATTTATTTTAGGGAAAATTATACAAACTCACAAACATTTAGTTTATAATCTATATAATTAGGTACTATAGCTACACTCTAAAATATTATAATTTGTGGCTACATAGTTTTTAATTCTTGTCATTCGCTTGATTTGTATAATTCGTTTGTTGATTTTATAAATAAAGAATTTTGTATATGATTTATGAAAATTGATATACATATTTGTATATTGACAAGCGAAAAAACTCCCAAATGTATAAATACAGAATTTATATATGCTTACCATATTTGTATATTCGTAAGCAATAGACAAATAGAAATCTGAATAATTCCTATCTGTATAAATACAAAATTTTGTATATACTTAACCTATTTGTATATTCGTAATTTAAAGATACAAACGAGCAGAATATACAAATTATAGCCTCTATAAAAAATCGAATAATAGTTATGGGGTGCAATTATCTAAATTGAATGTAACATCCCGACTTCTTAAAACATCTAAATTAACTTGTACCTTTATGGAAAGACAATGAAAGGGGGTACTGAATTAAGAATGATGTGGTATTTCCTATACTAAGTGTTAAAAGGGTTGTATCTCAAATTTTGAAGTTAGGTAAGTGGCAAAAGAAAAGTTAGTAAGTTCCTTTTTAAAGATTTCTCTTAAACTTGAGTCAAATGTCTTGGATGTTTTATCTAAATATATAAAGAGTTAGAAGGCCTATAACCCATTCTTACGAGTCTAGCTTGCAACGCACAAAAACCATATCCAATCGACATTGGAGTAAGAAGTTATGAGAGTTTTATTGCGGACTGCTGCGGCAGAATCTGTGTGGAGTCCGAATCGGGTAAAAAATGTGGTATGTCGGCTTACTCAAGGATTTAAGCCATGAAAGCATTTCCTTTCACATTCAGACCAGAAAGAAAGCTTAAGAGAGGGTTCCTATGGAGTTCTTTCATTATTAAGGTTAGTTTTTGATGATTTACACTACTAAAGGTTGCCCCGTGCCTATAAATGTAATGTCTACACATGGCAATCATTTTTCCCTTCTATTAGCTGCATTTGGAGCTAGTTTTTGAAGACCTAAATTCGTAGTTATTGGTGATTCTTCAAGGTTTACACTTAGTTAACTAAGGTAATTGCAACACCCCGGAAATTCCATGACCTAAACTAAAGCCTCACATAGTGCATATTGATAACTCTAGACCTAAACTAATGTAATTAACTTCATTTGGAAGTACTAGAGCCTCAACGTCAAGGAACGACCATGGCGTTCGAAAACTAGTGAATTTAATTAGTAGACGTCCTTAGGTCTTGTGAAGGTTTGTGAGTGTCGTATGAAGAGTAAAACTTGTAAAAGTACTTTAAATAGGTAAAATATGTTTTAGGGATCAAAACTTCCAGTTACGACCTCCCAAGGACCATGCTAGGGTCCCCTGAGGAGGGCCGAAGTATTGGTAAGGATGCTACCAAGGCAGTGAGCAAACAACCTCTTTTTGGAGGAGCTTCCGCGTCGAGCGCCCATCACTAAAAAGGAAAAAAGGTTACCTTGCGACATGGGCTTGTCAAAAACCTCTCTGCCGCAAATTAAATTCCAGAAACTAGATTTGGAAGTGCCTCCGATGCGCAACCATGTCCCAAATTTAGTCGCATTATTTTAAAGTCGAGTTTGACTTCACAAATAGTTCTATTTACGTGAGGGGTCTTTTGGATATTTTAGGGAGGGGAATATATTAATTTTAAGCCAATTATACATCACTTTTACCCACAAAAATCAAATCCCCAAATTGAAATCCAAAGTACTCTCACTTCTCTCTAAATATCTCTCTACTCAACCTGCATTGAAGAGCATGGAAGCTTGAAGAAGAAGGCTAATTCCCCAAGTTTTCAACTTAAATTTGTGCTAAAGTCTTGATTAAGTTATGGTTTCTTTCATTCTTGGGATTTCTTTCCCCAAGAGGTCCCTTCAAAGATGTTTTAAAACTTTCCCTGATCTAAGGTTTTATTCTACACATGGGTCTTCTTGAAAAACATAATTATGAATCAATTTCGATGAATTATGATAATCTAATGTTGTTTAAGTATATAATGATGGTTAATTTTGTTATTCACTTGAGATTTCGTTGGACCATGTTTTCCCCCAATTTCATAAAAACCTTGAATTGATATGGTGAATTGTTGAAGATGATGAATATGTCAATTGTATATATTGATGTTTGTTATGTTATTGCTTCATAAATTACCTTGTTCTATGTATTGGTTATGCATTCTTAGATAATTGAAGTGTGAAGTCCCATGAAGGGCAAGAAGGTACGGATGTTGGTTTTTCTTGAACTCAATTATGAATGATGAATCACTTAGATAGTAATGATGTTGTATCTAATGTGTTGTTGTGGTGTTGATTACATGTTCCCCTCATCCTTAACCCTATACACTTGAATTAGCTATGAAGTATGAATGTATGTTATGGTATGATGGTTATATGATCGAAAGGTAGTTCTCATGATTAAAATGAATTGTTAAAGTGAAAGGTTTACTCATTATCTAGTGTTTCTAAAGTGAAAGAGTTGTTCTCACTTATGATCACCTATGAGTTATTATGATGAGATGTTTACATGAGGGTCTAGTAATGGCTAATGTAAAATCATGAGATGACTAAAGATGATTACTAAAGGGAATAGATGCTTAGCACCGAAAGGGAACATAAATGAGATGGGGGTCATATGTTTAGTAAGTCCGGCTCCCCACATGGGTTTCCTCGCGTTTAGTAAGTCCGGACTCCCTAAGATATGTGTTGTCTTATGAGATGGAAACCCCCATATATAGCAAGTTAGGATTTTTTGTAAAAATCTCCTTTACCCTTAACTATGTGCCACATAGGACTCTAGCTTAATGGATCCACCAAGATAACTATGTACGAAAGGTTACACCTTAGACAAGTGTTAACCCTCTCTTTTCGGTGTAGGAGTTAAACACACGGTGTAAGGTCTCTCAAATTGAACTAAGGTGTTTAGAGCCTCACATGTGTCTAAAAAGGTTTAAAATATGTTAATTAAGTGCTTTAAAGTATGCATACTTTATTTGAAGTGATTTGGAGGTCAAACATCCAAGAACGTTCGATGAAGTTCAAAAGTTAGCCTTGAGATGTGTTAGTGTATTCTAGTGTACCTTGACATGTTTTACAAGTTTTTTGATGATCAAATTGATATTAAAGGTCCTTAACTTGTATATGATCGTATTTACATTCGAAACATCAAGGAACGACTCCCCAAGGACCACCAAAGGGTCCTTGAGGAGGACCCAAAGGCTGCCTGGACACTACCTTGGTAGTGTCAATCGAGGAGCCAATGATGGATGCCCCATCGATGGGGGTACTAGCTCAAAACTTAGCTCTGTGAGATTAATCCCCCAAAGTTCAATCTCAATCACCATAGATGGAGTAACAGGATGAGACATCACTCCATCGATGCGCTGTCGTCAATGGCCATCGATGCTGCCTGCAATTTTGCTGCATTCACGCTGCCATGCTAATGTGTGAATGGGAAATTCACCCCACATTCCTAAATTAGTATGTACAATTTGTTTAAGTGTATTTAGGTATTTTAAGTTAGTAGGTAAGCCTTTGACGCTAATTATATCTCATTCTTCAAATTTTATCTTCCCTCTCAAAACAAAATCTCTCTAGAAACCTCCATTGAAGATGAAGCTCAAGAACGGCTTCGTTGATGGATTGTGATGGTTTATTCATCAATATTTCGTGGACTTATCATCTAATGAGGTTTGGTGATTCTTCATCTAGAGAGTTCCTTGAAAGGGTTTCAAAGAGAATTCATGATCAAAACTCCATATCTTTAAATCTAGCCATGAGTTCTTTCTCAAATTGATTTCAAAAGCATGTTTATGATTAATTGTTTATTAGCTACTGTTTTTAATGTGATTTTCAATTTTTAAAATGAACCTGCAACATTCTGGAAGTTCCATGACTTAGACTAGATCTTATCCTATTGAATAATAGTGAAAATGATGTTTCCAGACCTATATTTATTTAATAAACTCATTTATAAAAGGTTAGAGCCAAAATGATAAAGAAGACCTTTACTTCTGGAAACTAGCTAATTTGAACTAGTTGACGTCCCTTTGTTTGTTAAAGGTTTCGAAGTGTCAAATGAAGTCCAAAACTTGTAAAAATACTTCAAACAAATAATATGTAGTACAAAAGTTCCAAACTTCTGGTAATGGCACCCCATGGAAGGGTCCTTGGGGAGGACCCAAACATGGGCAAGCAGGCTGCCAAAGCAGCCTACGAGAGTCAAGAACCAAGGGGCTGCTGCGCAACCCGCAACACACACGAGGTTCACTGCCTCAAGAATTGGGAGGAAGCGCGATGCGAAGCTGTCACGAGGCTCACTGTCTCAACCCAAAAATTCAGAAAAAGAATGGGAATTGGCCCTACGACGCGCAACCACTTTCCAGATTCATTTAAGTAGTACTTTTGGTAATTTGACTTCACAAATAAACCCATTTAAGTGAAGGGTCTTTAAGGTATCTTATGGGAATACTATGTATTGATCTTAACTCAGGTTTAGTTCACTTTTAACACTTCAAATTAGATCAAAAGAATTTCTCCCATATCTCTCAAGAACGCTCTCTTTTTCAAACTCTATTGAAGAACAAGAAAAGGTTAAGGAAGAAGACGAAGACTTCCAGGTTTTCATTCAATTTTCATGGAATATTCGTCAATAAGGTATGCGTTTTTCACTCTTGGGATTCCTTTTCTGAAGAGATCCTTTCAAAAATGGTTTTCAAGAATTCAACTCCTAGGGCTTTTACTCTTCAAAATGGGGTTGTTCCTAACTCTCGATTTATGATTTTTGATGAAGTATAACAATTTTTCTATGGTCGA